AACCTAATAGTTAACAACATTGTGAGCGGCGGTCTCTGAAATTTCTAAAAGAAAGCGAATTTTTCTCTGAGGCCGCTCTTTTCAAAAAAAATTTGGGATATCCAGGCTTTTTAGTTGACTAAAAATCAAAAACACTCCAGAAAAAAATTCGCTATGACAAGTTGAGTTTATAGAAGCCAGTGGTTTGATTATAGTTAACAATGAGTTACTGGCACAACTTCAAAACTGTGAACCACTCTAAGAAATTCGCAACTAATTTTTGTCCCGACCCCGCATCCCTGATCCCACGGTCAGCCGTTGCACCTTGTTCTAGCCGTAAAGCTTTTTCGGTCCAAGAAGACAAAGCAGTACGTATGATTTTTTTACGTAATGATATCTCTGCAAATGAAGCGTTTTCAGATTTTCTCTACTAAACTCAGACAATCGCAAATGACTTCCGGGGCAAACTGAAGTTCTAAAACTTCCGAGGGGACACTCCTATTGGAGCTTCCAAGTAGGGCGAGGCTCACACACACGGCCCAATGGGAGCGTCCCCCCCCCCGGAAGTTTTAGAAGTTCAGTTTGTCCCGGAAATTATTTGCGATTGTCTGAGAGATTGTTGTTGGAAAATTGCTGCACAGATAAAAAATTGCAGTAATATTAGTGGCTCTTACGTCAAAGACGAGAACTACGATGCCCACGCTTTCTTCTCCCTAATTTCAATTTCCTCTCTACTCTATGTACATAATATTGGCACATAGTCTGATGAAAAGTTTGAATAAAATATAGCGCGCCGACGAGCTGTTTTTTGGAGGTATATGTCATTGCTGGAGCTAAATTATTTCCCTTATAAAATTCAGGCCAGTAAAGCGATTTAATTTTGCTAACTATGTGGCAGCCTTGCAACGCCCAAATGCAGGACTTGCACATTTCCGTTTTTCCTCTAACATTAACATATATGCAAAATGAATGTATTCAATTTTATATGAATTTCATTACCAGATAAAGGACTGACAAATTCTCAATTTTACAGTCTACCACATCTAGGATCAATTATTATAAAGCAAGCACACATAACAAAGACAATAGGTAACGAAAGAGAACAGAAGGTTTCCAAAATGTATAAATCATTGAGTAAAAAATTCCTCATTGCTATGGATGATCATTCAAAAGAGAGAGAGGGAGAGAGAAGTAAAAGAAGGAGAGAAGAGAAACATGTATAGCAAGAATGCATACTTGAAAAATGAATAAAATTGATATCTTGAGAGCTTTTCTATATTTCACAACTTTTAGTTCATCATACTCTTTTACGCAGTGAAATTGTGTCGCATTGAATATGTTTATATGCAATGTTTTTTTCAGCTATTGTTCAAATGCATAAAATAATGAGTTTTTGCTAAGAGCTGTGAATGTTTTACCATTTTAGTAAAAAAAATGCAAGACTATGAGTGACTATTCAAAAAAACCCATTTTGTGTGACGTCAGTTAAATTATTCCCTGGTGCATTGTCTGATCAATTCTAAGCTTTTTGTAAAGAAATTTGTGTAAAATCTATAAAAAGTATAAATTCACAATTCAAATACCATTTTTCTCTCAAAACTAATTCTTCGAACCCAAAAGAAACTATACTCAGTGTTCGTGGCCTATAGAGATGAGATGTACACAATCACACTCGTATTGGAACGCTGATTCTGAATCTGACTTCTGTTTCTGCTAGTTTCCCTGAAAAAAGTTGTGAAAGATTTTCGTTTGGTCGCTCAATGGAAATACAATTAGAACAGCCAAAGTTAGGTTCGAATGTAAGTTCGAATGTCTTTGTGTTTTTCAGTTTTGCATTGACTCAACTAAGCTGCTTTTGAAATTTAGGCATCTCGAGGTAGAAGCATGCCCTTATTCTTTGATAATTCAACAAGGAGTCATTTTTATATGAGCGTTTCCCATATTTATTCTGAAAGATGCTTATGAAGAGCGTTGCGTCGCCTGAATGACTCAGTTGATAGGCTTATTTGTTTTTTGAGTAAAATTTAATCCAAATTATATCAAAGGATACATTCTAGCGCAGATAGTAGTAGTTTCTCTTGATTTTCCACATTTTTGAAGAATAAGGGCAAGAATTTATCATTCATTCTATGACCAGGAGACGCAAGAACGCATTGCAAACATCGTCTAAACAAGCCTAATCGTGTACCTACATAGCAGGTATATACTTGTCGTACAGGTTTATTTACTCTTTGGAGGCAGGGAAGAACAAACTCAAACATGTTAAGACAATGTCCGCATTGCGGTCATGCGCCTCCTATTCATAGAATAGATGATACCTCGAAATGCCTAACTTTCTAAAAAAAGCTTAGGTGAGGCCATACCAAAAAAAAACACAAAAGAATTTGAACTCACCTGATCAACTTGTGAGGCTATCGCAATAACCACTACACCATAGCTTATTGGCAGCATGGGTTAGTATGTATATCCCAGAGGCCAAAACTTGGCGCGAAAATTCTTCACAACTTTCTTCTGAGAAACAATTAGCAGAAACAGAAATCAGATTCGAAAGCAGCGTTCCAAGGCGAATGTAATGGTTCAAATCTCATCCCAAAAGGCCCGGACACTTAGTTTCGTTCCCTTGTTAGCTATATCATTCACTCGCACTCTTCAAGTCAGTCATAATGACGAGCGTGATTTACTTGTCACGAGAATGTTCTATTGTTATGTTTCTTTCAAAGTTCCCTTGTCATATAAAGGTAAAAATATGGTTGCCATGCTCAAGCCCTCATTACTGCACGTATGGAAACCTGCTGCAAACGCTGCAGAAGAGCAGAAGACTAGAAGTTTACACCTTGAGACAGTAGAATTACAAATTCACTCGGTGCCAGGTACTACAAGCATTTGATGCTTCATCAATTCGTTACATTGCGTAAGTACAACACAAGTTCTATTTAAGAAAAAATTGCGTTTGTAGCCATAGATACCGCTTTTTGTCTCGCAAGATCTCTTTCTTCTCAGTAATGCAGCGAATGCCGCTAGGTAACATGCTCTGGAAATTTCTAGAGCTTCATTCGTTATGCTGAATTTTGTAGACATTTGTGTTTTCAATTTTATTTTCATGCAGTCGAATATTTCACAGCTGAATGGATCACCATGAATATTAAAGTTCTTCTTTCAATAGCAATTTCACAAACTAGTCTAGTGCGTTTCTGGCTTCAAGCTGACTGCTTCTTGCATTGAAGTATAGTCAACGAATTGGATAATTTTCCTGAATTCAATTCGCACAAAGTGATGTAGAACCAAATGATATTTTAGAGTAGTTGCACTTTGTTTAGAGTATCAGTTTTCTTGGAAGCCCCGTTTCCATGCCTTATTTTCGCAGCTCTCTTTAGGTTCTACAGGCTTACTTTAGGGCTATAAATGAGAAGAATAAAACTATGCGCTTCTTCTGGAAAACTCTAGCCAGTTATAACCCGAGTTTTGCAATACACTGGATTGCAAAAAGTCCTAAAGGGTCGTGGCAAACCTGGCAGTGTCATCAATTGCGCAGGCCTTTTCCTTCAAAATCACAGGGAAAGGATAGCAAAAGTATTTTTTTACAATAAAATCTAAGTTTCTTTGAAGAGTATGAGACGCTGATTCCAAATCTGTCTTCATTATCTGCACAGCAGTTCTGGGCTTTCTGGTTATAAGGGTATTTAGAGAAGAAATGCGCGTAGTCTCATACAAGATCAATCACAAGCTGTAAAGCCTTTGAGCCGGTTGGTGTAGTGGTTAGTGTGATTGCCTTGCAAGTAAATGCTCCTAGGTTCAAATCTCTTGCTAGGTTTTTGTAGCAGTTAGCAAGAGCTTATGTGAATCCAAGTCCTCTATACAGTCTGTCCCAATCGAGATTATTTGCGCGCTCGCAGCGCTAGGAGTTTGCGTTGCATACGCGCGCTGTCGCAGAGATTGAGGAGAGAGCAGACTAGCTAGCCGGCGGTGTGTGGCGTAATACCCTCGCGACACGGATTCCCGTCATGCCAATTTTGGCCTGGTTGGGATTGGGGAAGACTGTATGGATTCATGATTTTTGAAATATAAATATTTTCTGTGACACAGCAATAAGTGTGGAAATAGCGTAACTTTTTCTAAATATAGATAAGTATAAAACCTATCTTACCGACCCTGTGTTTACACAGCATTTTTTATGACTCAAGGCTCACAAAAATCGAGTATTTATCTTTATTGACTACTTAAACTCTGAATCTGCGTCTGCATCGAATTCCGCATTAAAAGTAGTTCAAGCTAGGAGGTCATAATTTCCTCTTTATAAAATGATAGAAATTGTCAAGCAAATTTGCTGAGATAGATAAGGGAAGTGTTTTAGAAATAGCGATTTATACTTTATGACAAGCATAGATGGGCCAGACTGCTAAAACCACTTGTTAAAACGGATTAGAGCTTGCAGCAGTCCAGAACCATTCGATGTCCAAAACTCGATTGATTTTTTAGAGTAAGAGTGGTGCAAAATCAAGGAAAGGCTCAAACTTATAAAGCAAAATAAAATTCTAATATTTGATGCTAGCTATTTCTAGCTTTCCTTCTTCCTACTAATCACCCAATACTGTCTTTAATTCTCAAAATTCTTATAAGTCGCTAATAATATTTTAAAAGGTGCAAAATCATCAGACGTTCTACAATTTTGAACAAAGAATATCTCACACGTAATTATTACGATAAGTACATGGAGTAAAAGCGCTCAACCATGCATACTGTTCCGTTGCTAGAACATGCGCACTTTTGCACAAACCTCTATTCTGTAAAGTACAGTTGCAATGCACCCAATTACGGTAAATGACGTTATATAGGGAGTAAATTTAGAACTCTGAGCTTTCAAAGCGTTATAATTATCTCATGACTCAATTTCTCCTCTGTCCCAGGAATTTATCATATAATGACAGCACTCTCGCTTATCTAGAAAATCTAAAGAATCTCTCATATTACGTCCTTGCAGCAATCTATTATTCACTCTAATAGATTATCGATTACTTTTACAGGTAGACAATGGCCAAGGAGCGCAGCAGTAGCGTACGACGCAATATTGACACTTCACTTTCGAATTCTTTCTCATCTTCAGCTGCTTCCTCGTTATCGTCGTCAAATTACGGTGTGAAAACGATACGAGTTTTCAAAAACGGTGATCCATACCATCAAGGAATTAAAGTGAGTTATAATCATGCTTGCGAAGAACAATTATGTACTACAATTTGCAGTTTGTATTGAATCGACGATATGTCCATGATCTCGACAAATTGCAAGAATTATTGAGGTTAGTTATGCGTTTGACATTCCTAACAAGAATTTAACCACTATTACTGTCATTACCAACTACTGCTACCAAGAAGTCCTTAGAATCATTTCAGAAATAGGATTAGCCATCAATAACTCTGACTCTTCCGCTTAAGTGAGATAGGCGCATTGTAGAATATTGCGGTATTGCACTATGTGTATGAGACATTTTGTTTACAAAAGAATTCCTGAAAAAATTGAAAAACCCAACCTTTGTAGAGATCTCTTATCGTAAAATCAGAAGTTGTAGTAGACCTTATAAAACTTTTTGATTTATAAGGTCTACTATGATTTATGATTTATTTGCCTTTCATATTATTACAATATGCGGCACCCAAACAAAATGATCCAATTCTTTAACGTGAGTTATCTTACTCTTTGCCAATTGCAAGTGCCAAGCTCCTTCTGAAATTCGTCTCTCCATCTCGTGAGGGCCAGTATATCGAGTCGCGCTCTCTTCAGGACTTTTTGCAGTTCTTGTCGGACTTCGTTTGACAGGCGTCTCACGTTGAACGTTCCAGTATCTATACAGTCGTTGTTGGGGTGGAACATACTTGATCCTGCTGTTCCGGGGAGCGGCCAAAATGACCGATCAGTCGAGGGACGTGTAGAAGATGAACTCTATAAAACTTTAAGCGACCAAAAATACAAAAGAAATATTCTTCTAGAATGTTTTTACGCCACACGCTGTAGCATTTCTTAGTCTCGAACCATCATTCTCTCTTTCGCAAAACATCACAGCTTTCGTTTTACGCAAAATAGTGGGTAGCTTACACAGAATGGAGACAGGTTGAGATTAAGAGGACTATGCAAGAGAGCTACCTTCTTGCCCCAACGGTCGATCCATTCTTAACATCGATACCATTTCCTCGATCTTTTCATAGAGAACCGAGACCAGTGTTTTCTGCTGACACGAAGTTTCGCATACTCTCAATTGAGATTTCTGGATTTCTAAATGATTTCGAACGCAAACGTCAAACTAATTTGACGCGGGAACAACGGCAAGGCTTTAAAGAAGTGCATGATTTGGTCAAGCAACAATCCATCCGTATCTCGATTAGCGACAAGGGTGGTGAATTCGTAGTAATGCCGCAGTCTTTAGATCGAGAGACTGCAAAAATGCATCTTTCCGACGCGACAATCTACAAACAAGCGACGACGCGAGACTTCCAGATGCAATGTAAAAAGACGAAGTTTGGGTTTTGTAGCTAAGGCTGCAAGCTTTGATGAAAGACTGGTTAGCAGGTTGAAAGTGGACAATCTGACCTGTTCAGTATTTTACCATCTGATTAAGCCTTAAAAAATTGCAGCGCACGAAAATCACTCCATAGCACTAGCAGCCTTTAAGGTACGCCCTATAATGAGAAGCTGTATCAGCGGCCCCATCGACAGAATATCATGGTTCCCCAATAAGATTGTGAGCCAATTATTACCAAAGGTGCTTTCGCATTTATCCAATACTCGGCCGTTCAGGCAGCAGCTGCGGGACACGAACGTCGAACATGACAGCGTCATCAATCTTCCGACCTAACATCTTTGAACTCAAATGTTCAGAACGATGCCGCATTGGAGCAATGTCAGAGATGTTCTAGCTTCATTACAACGATATGGTCACTTTTGGACTGAGCAAAGCGTGCATACTGACCCTTATCAAGGAGTGTCTGAAGTGTAACACTTTAGATGGTCTTGAAACCACTAATCTCAGATCGCTGGCTATAGGCCAATAATAGCATCAGCCTTTCCGATTTGCTTTATGAGTGAGATAGAAGAGCCAGTACTTGCACGCTTGCCCACTTTAATGTCGGCATCTCGACGATTGTCGCGTGATAACATCGAATCAGTCCAAAATGGACGTATGTTTCACACTTTTGAACCAGCAGTCACAGTACATTAGATTTACCAGAGAAACCCCCGGCCGCCAGTGGGTGGCTTTCGTTCCTGAACACTCAGATAAACTTATCTGGTGGCACGATTCAAATGAAGTGGTGCATGAAAGAAAGCTTGAAGGAAATTATAATACAAGCAAAGTCAGTGCATCCTACAACGGCGAAACATGCTCTTAAGAACATATACGAAACGGCTGTAGAAGTTTGCACTGGCGAAGAAGAGCGGCTCGAATCCACTAGACTGGCTACAACAATTGCGAGCAACAATGGCCACACAGATCCGCACATTGGTGAAGTAGTGGTAGTCAAACTGCACGCAGTGACAAGAGAGCATTTCGCGTATCTTTCATCTCCGATGAAATGAGTGCAACTATAAAGCGGTGCATTACTCGAACACAACTGCAATATGAGGTTGTCATGGCAAACATCGCGAACGAAAGCATCAGGAAGCAATTGGTGCGAGACAGCGGCTAAGGTCCGCTGCTTCCTGCAGACTACTAACATCTTCATCACGGTTGATTCCTTCTGTCAGCGTGCCTCTCTGTACGTTGTGCATAAGACGAGATCTAGACATAAGTACAGAGATGACGTTTGGCGGCGTAGTTTCACAGGTCAAGACTGCAATCATCTTTCACACCTCCGAAGAAAACGAATCAAAACGTTAAGTCATTAAAAATTCACCGTGCTAATCTGGGCTTGGCAGAACATCTATTACCTCAGATCACGATATATGATGCCAGATTCAGAGAAGAGAGAACCCGGAGTTTACTAGCAGTTTGAGTGTTCATTTTTGTCAGCTTTCGTTGAGGCGATTTAACTATATATAGTAGACGTCATCCGTCTAGTCACCTCGGTGTCGTGTGTGCTATTGCACACAATTTTGAAATCCCGGATGAGGTGCGAGGTTCGCGCCATGCCGTACTTGCACCAAGTGCGCATACGGCTGAAATTCGACGCCAAACTGTCCGATTTTCTTATTTTGATGTTTTTTTTTCGTTTTAAGCACTTTTTCTGCACGCATGGTCTCTTTCTCAAAGATTTGTTACCTTTATCTCGTGCATTGCCGTTTTAGATAAAATATCCTGAGATTTATCACTTCTGCTTCCAGGCAAGGAAGGCGCGTGGGCAATCTTGCAGGATTGTGAAGTGTGTTTTTCGGTATAGTCGTATGTAGAAAGAATAGAGTATCTCGTAGACAATACGAGTTTCAACTTCCTCCTCACTGAAATCGTCTTGTACCGAGTTCCTCTTGGAAAGCTTCTTCTAAGTCTATAGTGGGATTGCTTTAAACAAAAACTCGTACTTCCCAAGAGACACTCTACTCTTTCTACATCCGACAATATTGAAGAAAGCACACTTACCTTGAAATCCTGCAGGATTGCCCATTTGCCGCTCTCACCTGGAATCAAAAGTGAAAAATTTTGAAATTTGCGATCTAAAACGGCAACGCACGGTATAAAGATAACAAATCATCAAAAACCAGACGTGCGCGGAGCCAAAAACAAAAAAAAAGCACCGGAATAAGAAAAACCGGCAAAATTTGGCGTCGAATTTTAGCCGTACGCGTACTTGGTGCAAGTACGGCACGGCGCGAACCCCGCACCTCATCCGGGATTTCAAAATTGTGTGCAATAGCACACACGGCACCGAGGTGACTAGACGGATGACGTCTACTATACAAAACGTTCCAAAAAGTGCTTAGCGTTTGGTCGTTAATTTCGCTCACCTTCAATGGCTAGCTTCCTCTTACAATAAATGTAATGTAAAACAGGATACTGATCACTCTTTACTATTGTTACATTAAAATGAGAATTAAAGAAAAGACCATGTGGCATAAGAATCAAAAAATGACGCAAGCAAGGCGATAAAGCTAAAAACATCCGCTATTCAATTCTGAGTAGCTAATTGTAAATACGAATCACTTTACGAGATCTGACAGTCGAAAATCACGCTAGGCATACGGTAACGGCTGTGTCTCGAGATTCCATGGAAGAATTTTGGATTTGCATAGAAACAGTTCTGCAAAGCCATACAAACTCTGTCTCCAAGACGGAACTGTCCGAAAAGACCATAAAAGAGTTTTCCATTCTTCTGAACGGCTGACGCGATTTACGGTAAGGAAAATTCAAAGGGTTCCCGTTTAAGCCAAATGTACTGTATTTCCGTTTTGAAAATTTTCTTCTTGAAAACCGCGACGATAAAAAAACGTGCTTTTAGGTCGCAACTACGACAATTTGCTTTCTTGTTGAGGATGAAAGTTATACTGCGCTTGTTGTTTACTTCCCTCCAATTATCACTAATGTGCTTATTTTCGTAACCTAATTACTTCTTTTAGCGAAAAACTCGATCTGGTACACGGAGTGAAACGGCTCTATACTACAAATGGAAAACTTGTTAGGCAGTTTCAAGATATAGAGGACAAACAGGTAGAGATTATTTAGAATATAACAACAAGGTGTCATATCTATCTATAATATTATTGGGTTTGTTTAGGACTACGTGGCGGCAACCAATCACTTTATACCCCACCCTTACGGAAAAAGTACAAACCCTGTAGGTCACCCATTTCGAGGAGTTTCACCCGTGAAGTGAGTTTCAGTTCAAAGTTTATGCTGCAATTTTTTTTAAAAATCGCAGCATAAACTTTGAGCGATCATAATGATTTATTAAAGTTCAGTTATTACGGCCAAGCATTAAAGAAACAAAACCTCGACAACACTTTTGATATTTCCCTTCTAATTTCCTAGGAATAAAAGTAGAGAGAAATTGAGGCAGAAGTAATAAAGGGAAAGGTAATTGGGGACAAGTCAATGATTTTTGAACCCTTAAAAATTCCAATTTGTAAAAGAACTTGAGCATAGTCATCGCACCTTACCTTTCTATTCAAATTATCGAGATTATAATCTGCTATAGAACTGAAAAAACGCAAATGCTTGTTTACGAATTAAATATGGATGACAGATAAACGGATAAAATCGATGGTTTTTTCTCTTCAGCATGCCACATACTCGTATGTCACGAAGTCAAACGCGTAGCAGTGAAAGACCGAGTGCCAAGCAGAGATCACAGAGTAGTGCGGTAAGCTCGAAGCTTCATACTTAGCCTCATTTACTTATCCCATTGACGACGCTAATTTTGCGTATCGGCGCTGTACGACGCGATTTTGCAGAACACTTTCGGTGTGGGAAGGTTTTGTGGTTACTCAAGAAATGCAATGTTGTTTGTAAACAATCACAAACATTTTCTTGAGCGACGGAGTGGTCTCAAGTGCAAAAAATCTTTAAAAAATGTTGATATTTGGAAAAATACTAGGCCTACAAATAATATGACTTTGCAAGGGGTGTGGGCCACCGGTGGTCCATATCGTCGTCAGTGGGCTGATTACTTACTTTTTTTCTCATTCATTTTCTCCTCTATGTTAATGGCACTACCTATTTGATGTTGTTTAGCCAGCATCTGCTGCTTCACGAGGAATAAACGGCAAAAAAGCAGGTACTCCGGAAACAAAGAAAAAGAAGAAGAAGGGTAAATGTTTTTTATGTTGCTAAAGGCTAGAGAAGGAAGATAGTTCAATGCCGCGAAGCGGTGCGAGTGGAGATCAAGCACCTATCATCGCTAGAGCGCATGGGGAGCATAGAGCACATGCCGGACCGCTCGCGCCCCGCTTTCGCCTGCACTCACTTCGCGGCTTTCGCCTTTAACCGGGACTAGTCTCTATCTATTTCTTGAAGATACTATTATAATTGCTGAATTATAAGGGAAATATTGGTTGAAGAACGTTATAATTACCTGATGACCGTTTTAGCTGGGAAAAAGAAAAAGAAGCCAGAAGAGGAAGCGCCTGCACCCGAAGCGGAAGCAGTGCTCGAAGCAGCGCCAGTCGAAGAAGCCGAGCCTGAACCTGAGGCGCCAGAAGAGGCGATAGAAGAGGCGCCTGCAGAGGCGGAGAGTCCCAAAGAAGAAGCTCCTGAATCACCAAAAAGCCCCCAACCGGAAAACGGCAACGATGAAGCGGGTAGTGAACACGAAAGGTAAGCGTAAGTATATGTTGCATTGCACTATCTCTGATTGGTCAGCTAGCATGGACCAATCACAGATCATCAAAAAAGAAATTCTAACAGAGTGTCGAACAAAAAATGTATTCTTTTAGCAATCGTACACCAACACCAACGGGAAGCGAACCTGGAACTGAAGAAGAAAAAGAAGCATCTGGAGGAAATGCGACAGAGAACGAGGAAGGTGAATCACAACTATAAATGTAATTATGAGTCGAATATCGATCTTTGCTATTTTTGACCAGGATGAGGTTTTCTGAATAAACAACCAAAGTTCTTACGATCCAAACAGCAGATTTTAGTTTTTATTCAGAACCAAAATCACCGACAAAAGAGAACGGCGATGAAAAGGAAGCAGAAGAAAAAGGAGCAGAATCGGAGAAGGAGAGTAAAGAGGATTGACTTGATCAATTTTTTTCTAATTATGAAACTAGGAAAATTTTATATCAAAACTCTAGCGGAAAATTCAGCAACACAAAGCAAGACCCTTTGTTTTTTGCCTTTCCATGGGAACAGTTTGACTTTCATCGAGTTTTTCGGTCCACAGTAAATTTCAGAATACTAGAAAACAGCTCTGCTTAGCTTATATGTTCAACGATTTGTACAAAAATCAATAAATATTGATCGCCACTTCGCGTATGTAAGTGCATGTAATTTGCATGGATTTTTTTGAGCATGAAAGCATGAACACTTTTACAATTCATCAATCAATATATTTATTTATACTGAAAGGTTACAGGTAAAGAAAAAGAAAAAGAAGAAGAGGCAAATAAAGCAGCCGACAAATTGGGGAGATTTGTCCTCATTCACCAAAAACATTGAGACATTGTTGAGAAAATGAATGATTATGGAACAAAATGGTTGGAATATGGCATGGATCACTTCGAAACAATCAATACGCATCCGATGCATGTCAGTCATCAAATGCATGCCCATTTTTCGTGATTTTTAATATTTGACTTGCATTAGTGTTGTTTTGTGGTGGTTATGCTTGCTTAGAAGAAAATCTAGTGATTGTTGCATGATTTCAAAAAAACAAAAGAACACCCTCTGTAGGCCTCAATCTTGCACGACATTTTGTACATTTTTTCTTGGTTTACGTACTTTTTCCTTTCTTTGATTTCACTAATCATTTTTTATCATCTTTTTTATACACCGTTGTGATCGGATCTTCTTTAATGTATTCTTTTCACTTTCCATTTTCTTTTCTATTATGTGAATACGCACTTCTTTTCAGTGAAATAAAGTACACGCTGAACTTTCAAACAATATCGGTTTTTTGCTTTTCGAAGCTAAAAGATACACTGTGAAAGAAACAGCGAAAGGAACCTATAAGACGTCAGAGGTGCAATTACACATAAAAACATAAAGCCGTGTTGCATACTTGAGTTGATATTCGTGTTCCGAGTTCTTTATTATTCCTTGTGGACGAGCTTTTGTAAGCGCGCAAGTTGATACTTCCTGTGATTGGGTGACTGGGGGCCTTTTATGAGCATCATACCATTAAAAAGGCTTCCACAGTTTCTCATCAGCAATATATAGCGCAGAAAGCCTTTTGGAGTAAGGCCGAAAACGGCTAGCAAACTTCGGAGAAATATGTTCACTTAGAATCAGGGCCCAGCACGAGAGTAGCAAATGGACATTGATGAAACGACTTCGCTTTTGCCACTATCGATTTTTACGATTTCCCACCTAATCCCGCCAACTGCGTAGGTTGTTCGATTGGAGCGCGCTTTCTTCCCCAAAAGGACCGGCGTTGCTATCCCGGATCCTAACAAGGGGAAGCAGAGGAGATTTGGGGCCAAAATATTACTAGATACTAAATTTTCATTGTAAAACAGATTTATGTAAAAATTTTGATAAACTTGTGTGAAATGGAAGGTTTGCCTACCTCAGGTGGGCGTTAGGTTAGCAGTTGCCCATTTGGAAAAAAGTTAAATACGCTCTTTATTCACATAACTTTTTCATGATTTTTCATGCTTTGTTTCTTAGTCCAACTGCGCGCATACCAAATTTTGGGCCATATTTCATCTGCGCGTTGCAATGAGCCGTTTTGTCATTTGTGATAGTGGGAAATTTCAGAGAAAAGATTGCCGCAACTTTCAGTCAAATTTCCACAATGCTCTGCACTATGTTCCTCCTAGTCCATGTCAGTTTATAATTCGAATTTTTTAGTAATATCGTTATGTGTGCGCTGCAACCGAGAAATTTAATTACAACTCAATGGAAAAAAAAATGTGGACTTTTGAGAGTTCGCGCGAGCAAGATCGTGTTTTTGCATGTAGGTCATGTAGGGAGACGGTTAAGAGGCGCGATTTCATTGGCTGTCAGCAACTCAAAACTCCAGTTTAGTGCTACGAGTCTTCAAAAAGTACCACATAAAGTGCACTGGATTACTATCTGTCTAAGATAACCAATTGCTGAGTTTGGTGGCTTTTGCTGGAAAAGACCGAAAAATTCAGAAAATTTGTTTTTAACTGCATTTTCATGGGTTTTTGACCTTCAAAATTGCTTTTTAGAGTTGATTGCAAGGTAGCAAGATTGAGGAACCCATGCAGCTACCTACACATCTTCTTCAAAATTTTAGATGCTTTTAGAATGTTATAAAACACTTAATATGGGCTATTTGGTGTCAATCTGGCAATAAAAATCGTGCCTCTTGACATACACCCGGTCATGTAGCAGCTTGTCGAGAGAATGTATAGACATGTTTATATATATACCATATCCTCTTTGCTTTTCACCCAAAACGAGTTCCAGCTTGATTTTTAGCGACCTCGTGCCAGGCCCTGCCCAAAATCTATCACGGTATCCCTACAGGAGAAACTCAAATATTATATAATTTCCGTAATCAGTAGGGCTCACAACTTATATGGGGGAATTTTGAAAAAAAATCAAACCATTCAATTTCTTCCATTCCTCGCCCTCAAGCGCTTGCTCTAATCAGTGGGGCTCACAACTTCTAGTGGGGATTTCAAAAAAATTTTGGATTATTCAATTTCTTCCTTTCCTCGCCCTCGAGCTCGCTCAAGTTTTCGCTACAATATTGTTGAATTTGAACACTTTTTTTTGTTTCTGAAAGATACTTGTTGGAGTTATTTGAGTATAATGTGCGCGCGCTTTAACGTAAAACACTTTCACCACAAAATTATGTCTTGCTCGACGCTATTTTGGTATGTATCAACATCAACTGTAGCTACATTATGACGCCTAATGAAATTTAACTATCATTCTTACAACGAGCTTGCAAAATTTACTATAAGCAACGTTTCACACATATCATAGAGGTTAACAATACAGTGTGTCTACAGTGTACACAGTGCCCTTAGGGTGCCTTCATACCCCGCCGGCAGCCGCCGCTAGCAGCCCGTGGCAGCTGCCAGCAGCTCGTAGCAGCCGCCAGCAGCCCGTAGCCGCCGCTTGCCATTTTTGTCATAGAGCGCAAAATTATCAAATCTTACTATTTTAAGTGCAACCTCACACACTCTCCATCTTCTACGCTTTTTCCTTCCTGTTGTCGCAATTTGATCTCATACATCATACTTGTGTCCATTGTTGTTATTATCGTGTTGCTGTAGATTGGTTATTTTATTGGTGCTCAGTTTCCCTCTCGCAGTTGAACCATTGTTCGCCAAAGTTTTTCGCGGTGCGATTTCTGTGACTTTGGATGCGTCCAGTTTATGTAGGTGTTCTGTTTGTTTATCTTTTAAGCATGGTTTCTGCTTCAATCTTTTCCTTAGCTATCGGTTTATCTTGAATATCTCTGTAATGTGTAAGAGCCGAACTGCACATTAGCGGCAATAGGAGAAAAAGAAGCGTGGAAGATGGAAAGCGGGGCGAGCGCACTCAAAATAGTAAGAGTTTAATGATTTGCATTTTAACAGCAATGGACACAAATATGATATGAGATGGCAATGTATACCGGCGGCAACAGGAAGGAAAAGCTTAAGAAATGGAGAGCGTAAGCGGTTGTACTTAAAGTAGTAAGGATTTGATGGTTTTACTCTCCTATGACAAAAGCGGCCAGCGGCGGATACGGGCTGCTGGCAGCTGTTGTGGGCTGCTACGGGCTGCTGGCGGCTGCTGTGGGCTGCTACGGGCTGCTAGCGGCGGCTGCCGGCGCGGTATGAAGGACCCTTAGCAGCAAATAGCTAAATTATCGCAATTAGTGTCGCATAACAGCCAGACCAGATTTTAGTGCGAATCCGAGCAAAGTGACTATTTACCGTACCACTACAGTATCCCTACAATGTGGCGCTAGCAGTAAATCGGCGTAGTGTTATTATGACACACTGAATAATCAACTTCAGCAAAAGCTAGAGGATTTGGTGAAAATGCTGCCTATCGTACATCTACCGCATTACAACAAAATGCGGGTCTCACTTCGTTTAGGTTGTACCTCGTTACCAAATTCAAAATTCATAACTTCTGATTTTTCCAACTGTATTGTAGGTTACTCAGTATTGTAGGTTCTATTACTCGCTTTCACTTTCGTAGAAAGAGTAGGTCATGCTCTTTATAATGACATCTTAGCTGCTTACTAATGATCATCTGTTGCATAGATAGGAGCGGTAGAAGAAAATTATCAAAATTCGAATTTTCTGCGTAGGGTCATAAAAGATCTAAAACATGCAATAAAAAACCGAGCAGTCAGTATTGTAGGTTCTATTACTCGCTCTTTCTAACTGTGCAAAGCTTGTGCTGATTGAACGTCTCTATCAAAAGTTATGATTTTCGAAGCAATACAAATTGATTTACGAGAAAAATGCCAAAATCAATCAAAATTGCCTTTTTGTATTGCTTGCTCGAAAATCATAACTTCTGATAGAGACATTCAATCAGCACAGACTTTGCACAGCTAGAAAGAGCAGGTAATAGGACCTATAAGGCCGACTGCTCCGATTTTTTTTTTCGTTGCAAGTTTCGGATTCTTTATGACCCTACACAGAAAATTCAAATTTTGACTAATTTTCTTCTACCGCTCCTATCTATGCAACAAATGATCATTAATAAGCATTTAATAAAAAGATGTCATTATAAAGAGCATGAATTTTCAAACAAAAATAAAGGCGATCTAATCGGCTGGAAAAATCAGAAGTTATGAATTTTTGAATTTGGTGCGAACGAACTTACGATAGAACCTAATATATCAAGTGCGGTACTGTATTTCACATATATAAATGTTTTGATTCCCATTCACTCTTCTGAATGCATTTGAAATCCCAAATAATCAGATTAAAGATAGAGTCCTATATCTTCAATTATTCCTAACGATGCAGAAGGTAGATTGCTATTGGAGTCCTATACATTCAGATATTCCTAATGCAAATGGTAGATACAGAAAAACAAGTCTCTATGATATCGTAGTTATGAAAATTGCTTATCACTAATTTGAATTAATG